TAAACCACACAATAACCAAATTCTGTAAACTCAGCATTGTAATCCTTACAGAGAATAAACTTTGAATTGAATTGAATTGAAGTCACCCACATCCCTACCCTCTCGCCACAAATTCTCCCACATTGTCCTAAAATCTAACCCCGCCTCCTCCACCCCAAGAAGCCTCACATTTAATTTCCAATACCCTGGATACCTCTTAGGTAAGCTGGCCCAAGTCAAGTCCGTATAAACAGCTCTATGATCCATGTATACGGCATCTACCATACGCACACACATCACCCACACACTTCTCGTCACATATAACCTATCTAGCCTGGCCACGTATCCCTGTCTATGAAACGTATGCTCAACCATCAGGTCTCCACCTCCAATAACATCCCTTAACCCCATGCCCAGCAAAAGATCCCTTAGGCTAACCAAAAAACACCCTGCCCCCCGTGGCTCCGCATCCTTTCTACGTACTATACAATTCCAATCACCGCCTACGATTGTTACCGAGGGAAGAGATCTCAAATAATAAATCGAAACATCATGCACAAATTCATTCTTCACCCGTACATCATGCTCCGCCAGCGCATACACACAAACCACTGCCAGTTGCTCACCCCTCCACCATCCATCTACCCAGAGTACCCTACCCTCCTCCCCTCCCTCACATCTAATTACAACAAACGGGCTCATCTCCCAAATCAGGATCCCAACCCCACCCTTCAAACGTTCCAAATGTGCCACAAACACACGATATCCAACCACATTCAATTCCCGACCAACCTTAAAGTTATGCTCCTGCACAAACACAATATCTATGGCATAACACCTCAAAAACCCCTAGAGCCACAAACGCTTCACATTTGCACACATCCCATTTACATTCACAGTCATACACCTGAAACCTTCTTGAAGGGTTTTACACGCTGCCCTGGAACTTCTTTCATAGACGCATTACCAGCCTTCCTACTCTTCCCACCACGCTCTCCACTGTGAGTGCTATTCCCCCCCCTGGTCGAACACCTGACTGGACACACCTGTGGCGCCTCCACTCACCACGTCGGCCCACGGTTTCTTCCCCGGCCTCTGCGCCGGGGTCAAGACATCATCGGAATCAGAGTGCGTTGCCTCCCTCTTTCGCCGAACACTCTGCATCCATTGTCTGGTCGGGGGATGCCTCACAATGTACCTCTGCCGCCACCTTGACCACGGTCACCACTCCCGTAGAAGCGGCACCCGCAGTCAGCTGACTGCCTCTCCTCTCGTCATCACTCTTCTCTGGTCCGTCCACCGACTGTACATCATCCCCAGCTCTCGTCGTCTCCAAAAACCTGTCCGTCAACTGCTCTGAAGCCACATCCTCCGCTCGTTCCTCTCCACTCAACTTGGTCTCCCCTTCCACCAAAGCGGAGACCATAGAGCCTACAGGCATTGATGGGCTCGACCCCACCGTCGGGAACTCTCCACCTCCTCGCTCCAAGAAGAACTATGGCCCTTTACAGGTGTCCCGCTGACAGGTCCCGCCATCAGGTCAGGCCCTCGCTCCGTCCCTCTGTCTGCATCCTGTCGTCGCTGCTGCCTCCCACACTGGACTGCCATATGGTCATAAGCGCCACATAGCCTGCAAGTCTTGCGTTGCCCTGCATAATACACCATCACTTGTGTCCGGAAGTCTTCCAGGATGACAAACGATGGGATGGAATGCCTCGGCGTCATCTTCAGGTTGAACGTACCCTCCTGCAAGCCGGCGTATGCCCCATCCACCTAGGTACCTGCTGTTGCCAGATGCACAGCACCGTAACATTCAAAAACATTCCGTATGTCTGCCTCGTCAGCTTCGAAAGGCACATTACGTACCTTCACCCAAGTGTAGTGTCGCGACACATCAATTAGACGAACTCGTATTGCCGAGTTAACATCCACACAGCCATCTTGATACTGCTCCACCAGGCGCTCATACACTGCCGTCGATCGTAGCTTGACGAATATCCGGTAAGCCCCGTTGAGCAATACTCCATACAAATCTTGATCAGCAATGCCATATGTGTCGCGAATAATCAAAGGTAGAATCTCCTGTGCGGACTAAGGTGTAACTACACCCCACACTAAATCAAAGCACACAGCGTTGACACGCCTTCTTGTATTCTGCGCCATCTTGCGAAAATCAATCTGCGCAGGAAGGCCTCTCAACCAGGAGCGTGTGCGCAGCACAACCTCACGGCCCTAGAGCGATGAGGTCAATGCACTTTACATTATTATAATTATTATTATAATCATGGGGGAGTGCTAAACCCATAGGATTATACAGCACACATGGGTGGGGGGGGGAGGTATTCAGGCTCAATTCAGGGAACTGGAGCACAGATCCAATTCCCTAGCTCAAGAGCCCCTCACCAGCATCAAGGAACCTCCCTTGAGGGGTTTCACTACAGTGATTTTCGCTTTACAGCAGTAGCCTGGAACCTAACATGTTATATGAACAGGACTCTTCTATACTTTAAGACACTGGGGTGTGCTCACTTGTATATATATTGATGAGTATATCTCTTGATATACATACGCTGAGAGCACCTGTTTGTGTACACTTTGAGAGATATCTGTATACAAAACACTTAGAATATACATGGATTAACCGCTAAACAGTGACATGCAGCCTTAATGACCCTCGTGTAGTCGAAGGGCTTTAATCCCAATTAACCAACCAACCAAATCATTCTAGTTTCCTGTTTTCATGATTTTTGTTATATTCACAGGAAAGCGCTAAACCTGTAAGGATCATACAGCACTTGGAGATTGAGAGGAAATCAGGTTTGATCAGAAGAAGGGGAAGGCAGTTCCAATCCCTTGAATCAGGAGACCATTTCCATCAAGGTACTCCTTTGAAGGAGCTGTTTTCTTGTGAAAAATTATAAACATACGTCTCCACATGTAAATGCTTTGTGATAGAGCAGTTTGTGTGTTACATCAGTTTGTGTTAGAGCAGTTTGTTGCGTTAGGACAATTTATGATAGAGTAATTTGTTGTTAAAACAATTTGTTCTTTGAGCAGTTTTTTGCCATACCAGTTTTTGTTAGAACAATTTATTGTGACAAGCAGTTTGTTGTGTTATGCCAGTTTGTTGCTGTAGAGTTTGTTGTGGTTTACATCAGTTTGTGTTAGAATAATTTACGTTAAAGCAATTTGTTGTGTGGTGCACCACTTTGTTTTATAACAATTTGTTGTGTTGAAGTTGTTTGCTGAATGTTGGAGCAGTTTTTTGTATGTTACAAGTTTGTTGCAGGCTTGTTGTATTATACCAATTTGTTGTTAGAGCAGTTGGTTAAATCAGTTGGTGTTAGAGCAATTTATTGTGTTAGAGCAGGTTATGTAATGTTAGAGAAGTTTGTTGTGCATTCACCTGTTTGTGTTTACAAGGGTCGAGTCACAGCTCCTGTTAGAACAATTTGTTGTATATGAGCTGACAAACAGTTAGAACAGTTTTGAGGTACAACAGTTTGTTGTGAGCTACAAGAGTTTGTAATGCGCTAACATAGTTCGTTGGAAGCTTCAAGAGTTTATGCGCTAACATAGTTTGTTGCCAGGTACAATAGGGTTCAGTACGGCGTCAGCCATGGTTGCCCTATAAACCCACCCAGCAAGACCATCTTGCTGGACACTGCCCCAGCTTAGGTTAGGTAAGGTTTATCGGGAAACCGGAAAATTGTTTCCTGACGCGGGTCTTAGTTACATGATGACCCGCCACTGGAGCTTTAGGTCATCTGACTGAGGCCTTCCCCTGGCTTACCGGTCCACCCCTTTAAAAATTAATGGTTATTATAACACTTATTTTTTCTGCCCCAGCATTGGTAGTTTACCTGGAGTTTACCTGGAGAGAGTTCCGGGGGTCAACGCCCCCGCGGCCCGGTCTGAGACCAGGCCTCCTGGTGGATCAGAGCCTGATCAACCAGGCTGTTGCTGCTGGCTGCACGCAGACTTCATGTTCTTCTTTCTGCCTTGAGCATTATTGTTGAATATCTCGTGTTATCTCTTCTCTGGGACGTTTGTCCTCATATACTTCAAGCTGCTTTGGTGGAGCGGCTTCCATCAGCCCGAAATGCTGCAAATCCAATGGGCTTTCTGATTACTGTATATTTTATAATGCAGTAATATTAATATTAATCTTAGGCTATGGAAAACCTAATGTTTTGACTTGAGTATGAGTGTGTGTGTGTCTGTGGCTCTGTTCCCCTCAAGGAAGGTTCCTTGATGTTGGTGAGGGGCTCTTGATTTAGGGAATTGGATCTGTGCTCCAGTTTCCCAAATTAAGCCTGAATGCCTTCCACATCCCCCCCCCCCAGGCGCTGTATAATCCTCTGGGTTTAGCGCTTCCCCCTTGATTATAATAATAATAATAATAATGTGGCTCTGTTGAGGTTTGGGAGTCCACCTGACTTAATTGGGAGCTTTATTGTTCCCGACCCTTGTCGGTTTAGCGCTTTCTTTGATTATAATAATATTGTTCCCGGTTCTGCTTCCAGAGGAAATATAGTTGCCTTTATAATTCAAACCCAGATTTGAGGGACTCCCGCTCCTCAAGCTGTATAACCCTGGTGGGTTTAGCGCTTAGTTTTGTTTATATTAATAATCCCACTCCTCAAGGGGGATTAATAATATAATCCCCCTTGAGGAGTGGGGATTATTAATATAATCCTCCTTGAGGAGTGGGGATTATTAATATAATCCCCCTTGAAGACGGTGAGGGACTTTTGACCAAAGGAATTAAACCTGTTCTCCTCATCACTGGATCAAACCTGAATATTAATTTAGATACATTTACACAACTTTTAGACTATGACAACTGTTTTGCATAGTAACATACGTGTGAATTACTTAAATATAATTTTATTTAGGTTATCCTGTGTCCATTGAGGTTCTAGTAAAATTATTTTAAGCAGCTTAACTATTAGATACAGTAGGAATAACTGAGTTAATCAACAATTAAGAGTGTAATACAGCTGTCTCGTTTGTTTCAGCTATGTTTTGTAGGACAGGATTGCCAGAGGATCCCCAGTATCCTGGGGGCCACATATGGTCTCCAAACCAAGAGACTTGACCTTTCCTACAACTCCATCAGGTGAGCTGCTTTATCCTTGCCAAAACCGTTTCCTTTTGCAACACTCCACTCTTCAAAGGAGAGCAGTACCTTGATCAAGAAATTAGAGCTCCTTTTCCTTGAATGTGATAATCTTAACACCTCAAATCCCTTCTCTGCTTCACTTCTCCTTATACAGTACACCATTAATTAAAACGAGGTCTTCTAGAATGTTTTTCACTGCACAATGGGTGAAGATTTTTGGAAAATTTTTGATCATGGTGCCATGATCTTTATGACTCTGTAAATATAGGGAAAAATACCTAAAATCCGGTGTAATGGCTAGTAACCAATAATTTCAATGTAGCAACACATTACTATGCCTTCAACAGTCACTCGCTTACCCTACGGATACTTGTCCCCTCAAGGAAGGTTCCTTGATGTTGGTGAGGGGCTCTTGATTTAGGGAATTGGATCTGTGCTCCAGTTCCCCGAATTAAGCCTGAATGCCTTCCACATCCCCCCCCCCAGGCGCTGTATAATCCTCCGGGTTTAGCGCTTCCCCCTTGATTATAATAATAATAATAATACGGATACTTGTACAAATATTGAACATGTCATTGATTGAAAATAATGAGTATGTAATTAGAAGAGAAAGTGAAGGCATTGCCATGATAAATGCTTGTGTTTGAAGTTCATAGTGGCTCTGCAGTATATACACTGCTTATACGTAAATTATCACCACAGGAGTCTCGAGAAAATCACCAAAAGAGGCTATATCATTTGCTTCCCACATACCAGTCAGCACATTCAGTGTTTTCATATCCTTTGCATCATCAGGGCTAAAATGTGAGGTTATGGAGATAATATATACTATATGCAAATTGATTAAGACTCCAAGATTTATATATCCATTGCTTCTTTGTTTTCATCATCAGGGTTATACTGAGAGGAAACTAAATATAATGTGAATACAGTACCTTGTGTATATTGTATATACTGTGCATCAATTTAGTTGCAAAACTTTTATTTTGTGATTATTATTATTATTATTATTATTATTATAAGAATAAATAAGTGCTAAACCCATAAGGATCATACAGCACTGTTTTTGTGATGAATGACTTGCTATTTATATACCTTCTCTTCATTTGCATAATTAAGGTCAAAAAATGAAAGGAACCTGGATATGTGTATACAGTACCTACTTTGTATACATTCATGCATCATTTCAATTGGTACTCATTTTGTGATGATAGGGCCAGCACAGCATGAGCCTGACACCATCCTCTGCTCCTTGCTACTCTTCATTTTTATTATAGAAAATGTAAGGGAAATGATACTTTAAGTAATAGTTTATATTTACAAAAGCATTCTAAAAGGTAATTTCAGTGGTGAGATTGACATGACTCTCGGGTCATCGCAGTCCTTAAACTCTTCAGTAACAACAGCATGTGATGATAACCTGAGGTGTTCTCATGATTTTATTTTCTCATATTTTAGGGGATAGCTTGCACTAATATTATGGTGCGTATTATGCTGGTTATATTTATTTAGTAAAAAAAAAAAAAATCATGTCTAGCTGGTATTTTTACTAATGTTTGCAGGTGATTGTGGTTGTGGCAGCAGGTGATAGTTGTTGAACTGAGTCATATGTTTGTACAGGTATTGTACAAGGTCACATCATCCCTCCCAACACATTTTTATCACATCCAATGACGGTTATAATGCAATGAATATATGTAAATAGAAAACTATTATTTTTTAAGTTTTGATGTATTACAACGCTTTAAAAAAAATTTGGTTGGCTTTTTTGGATGTAATGAACGTAACCCTATTTTTCCCTCATGTTCTTCAGTTCATTTTTAAGATTATTTTTTCATTATATGTCATTTTCAGGAACGTAACTACCATTTGTATATTGTGCAAGAAAGGTATAAAATACCGACAATATGAAAGTAAAGACACATGTGCAACATCTGGATATCTTTATTGTAGACGTTTCGCCATCCAGTGGCTTTATCAATACAAATTCTAGGACATAATTGGAAGATATTGGCAGTTTGGAGGGATATGTTGTGTATCTTTATACGTATATGCTTCTAAACTGTTGTATTCTGAGCACCTCTGCAAAAAGTGATAATGTGTGAGTGTGGTGAAAGTGTTGAATGATGATGAAAGTATTTTCTTTTTGGGGATTTTCTTTCTTTTTTGGGTCACCCTGCCTCGGTGGGAGACGGCCGACTTGTTGAAAAAAAAATAAAATTGGAAGACTGTAGAACTATATACAAAAGATGAGGTAATCAGTCCCTCAGCCTTGGAGTTCGTGTTCACAGCATCGTGGTGGAGGAGAATTCATATTGTCGGTATTTTATACCTTTCTTGCACAACTTGTCAGACACTGCAACATCATGGAATCTTGGTTCAGAGGACATCTACAAGACCTTCTTCACGGCTGCTGCAACTAACCCATCTCTTTGGGAAGGACCTACTTCCACTGGGGAATCCCGCCTACCAGTGACTATGCCCTCGTCTGCTGCATGTCCTTATCCACTGACGCCTATATAACCGCCAGTCTTCTTGCCTTTGCTCCAGATTCTCCTCCACCACGATGCTGTGAACACTAACTCCAAGGCTGAGGGACTGATTACCTCATATTTTGTATATAGTTCTACAGTCTTCCAATTATGTCCTAGAATTTGTATCGATAAAGCCACTGGATGGCGAAACGTCTACAATAAAGATATCCAGATGTTGCACATGTGTCTTTATATTTGTATATTATTCGGTTAATATTGAATCGTAGAGCACAAGTATTTTATTGTGTTAGTTCCTTAACCCTTTGACTGTTTCCGACGTATAAATACGTCTTACGAGCCAATGTTTCTGACGTATTTATACGCACAAATTCTAGCGGCTTCAAATCGAGCGCCAAAGGCCTGATAGGCCTACACGGGAGAGAATGGGTCTCAGTGGTCGGTGTGCACCCTGTGAAAAAAATCTGGGACCTAGCGGTGCATTGTGGGAACGCCATGTTGTCAGTCCATTTTCACCATGCCTCTCGGTAAGAAGTTCCTCACTCCTCGGCGGATTGGAGGTCTTTTGTTCCCAAGTGATAGCTCTAACAGCGATGAAAGTGTCAGTGACAGTGAATTCAAGGGTTTTCAAGTGAGTGTTACCGAAAAAAAGTGCCCAGGATACGTAAATAGTGACGAAAACCCAGATTGACCCACAACCTTCGACCTCTGGTGCTGTGCCGGCTTGTTCACGTTCACGTTCGCCTGTACCAGGACGAAAGAGGAAACTATTTGGTCGTGTACAACACCCTGATGATAGCAGTGATAGTGATAGTGATTTCAAAGTCATTGAAAGCAGTTCTAGTGACAGTGAGAGTGAATATTCCCCAGTGAAGCGCCAGTATGTACGACGTAGCATGCGGTCTGGTAGTGTTTCATATGTTGTTCCAAGGGGAAGGAGAAACTCTGGGAGCACATCCCGTGGCCCAACACCACAACTGATAGTGAAGATGACGATATTGTTAACGATGGGTATGAATGGTGACAGTGAGGGAGGAGGCAGTGGTGGTGATAGTGAGGGTGGCACGGCCCATGTGGCACCTCACCGGGCACCGCTACTAGCCAGCGGCTGACTCAGCAGAACAACCAGCCTCACCCTACCCCACACTACCACAACCTGCACCACCACAACCTGCACAGCCACAACCACAGCCACAACCACGGTACAATATCCAGACCCCACCAGCAGACCGCATCTGGGATTGGCAGGACGGTGACGAGTTTGTTCCCAGTCCCCATGACTTTGATGAAACACAAAGTGGAATAAAGCCATCTTGTCCACTTGCGAACAATGCCAGTGAACTGGACTGCTTTGAGTTATTCTTCGATGAACCCCTGATGGACATCATTGTCAGGGAAACCAACACATACTGTGAATACACCATGGCAAATACAATTCTCTCACCAAAATCACGGCTACACAAGTGGAAGGAGACAACTGTGGCAGAGATGTACCTGTTTTTTGCCACAATAATGCTTATGCCACATGTGTATAAGCACACTGTCACCACATACTGGACAACAGATCGCCTGATTTCAACTCCAGGTTTTAGTGACATTATAGGTGTCAATCGTTTCCTGATACTGTTGCGTATGTTACACTTTTCAGACAAAACCAGGCCTGACAGAAGCGACAGGTTATATAAGATAAGAAATGTGTTTATGTACCTGAAACAAAAGTGCTGCATGTATTTTTATCCCTTCAGGAAGCTTGTTATTGATGAGTCCTTGATTTTATTCAAAGGAAGACTCTCATTCAAGCAATATATACCAAGCAAGAGGAAACGCTTTGGTATAAAGCTATTTGTACTGTGTGATTGCAGAAGTGGTCTTGTTTTAGATATTATTGTGTACACTGGCAGTAATACTTTGAGAGATACCATGAAGTTATTGGGTATCTCTGGTGATGTGGTTCGAACAATGATGGAACCATATCTTGGTAAGGGGCATATGTTATTTACTGATAACTGGTACACAAGCCCCTTACTCAGTGATTTCTTGCAAGTGAACTTGACAGACGTGTGTGGCACAGTGCGTGGTAATCGCAAACATATGCCAAGGTTCGACGCTGGCACTCGCAGAGGTGAGGTGCAAGCCTTTGCTGCCAATGACATCATGGCATTTCGGTGGCATGACAAACGTGATGTCACAGTGTTGACATCAGTTCACACAAACGAAATGGTACCCAGTGGCAGGGACAACAGAGAGACCAATGAACCCATTCTAAAGCCTGCAGCTGTCATGGACTACAACCTCAATATGCGCTTAGTGGACAAATGTGACATGCAGATTGGGTTTGCAGACTGTGTACGCAAGAGTTATAAGTGGTATATCAAACTTTTTTTCCATCTTGTTGATATCTCTATGCTAAATGCTTATAACATATACAAGTTGAAGACCAACAAAACACCAAAATATGGTGAATTTTGCCTGTCAGTAATCAGACAAATAATTGCAAAGTACAAAGGAGCAACTCCTGCAATAGACCAGCGCCCACAGACGTCATCTCGTTTGAGGCCTGGTGATCACTACCCCATACAACTGCCTCCTACTACTGCCAAGAAAAATGCTCAGAAGAGGTGTTATGTATGTATGCATACCACAAAACGCCCACAAACACGCAGAGACACTCGTTTTATGTGTGAGGAGTGTGAAGTGCCCCTCTGCATATACCCATGTTTCAAAGAGTTCCACAAGCTGCAGCAGTTCTAGGAACGTGGTTAGTGACTGTACATATGTACAGTGGACCCCCGCATAGCGAACTTAATCCGTGCAAGAGGGCTGGTCGTTATGCGAAATGTTCGCTATGCGAATTAATTTTCCCCATAAGAAATAATGGAAATAAAATTAATCCGTGCAAGACACCCAAAAGTATGAAAAAAAAATTTTTTTACCACAAAAAAATGTTAATTTTAGTACACACAAACTGAAAAAGGCATGCACAATTACATGACACTTACTTTTATTGAAGATCTGGTGATGATTGATGGGATGGGAGGAGGGGAGAGAGAGTGTTAGTGTTTAGAAGGGGAATCCCCTTCCATTAGGACTTGAGGTAGCAAGTCCTTTTCTGGGGTTACTTCCCCTTCTTCTTTTAATGCCACTAGGACCAGCTTCAGAGTCACTGGACTTCTTTCGCACAACATATCTGTCCATAGTGGCCTGTACCTCTCGTTCCTTTATGATTTGTCTAAAGTGGTTCACAACAGTGTCATTGTAACAGTCACCAGCACGGCTTGCAATAGCTGTGTGAGGGTGATTTCATCAAAAAAGGTTTGCACTTCAAGCCATTTTGCACACATTTCCTTAATCTTTGAAGTAGGCAATTCCTTCAATTTCTCTTCTCCCCTCCTTTGAACCAGTTTCCCCAGGTCTGGCCTCTTGCTCTTGAAGTTGATCTATCAGCTCATCAGTGGTTAGTTCTTCATTGTCCTCCTCCACCAACTCTTCCACATCCTCCCCACTAACCTCCAACCCAAGGACTTCCCCAATTCCACAATTGATTCCTCAACTGGTATACTACTCTCTTCAGGGTTAGCCTCAAACCCTTCAAAATCCCTTTTGTCTACACATTCTGGCCACAGTTTCTTCCAAGCAGAGTTCAAGGTTCTCTTAGTCACTCCCTCCCAAGCCTTACCTATAAGGTTTACACAATTGAGGATATTAAAGTGATCCTTCCAAAACTCTTTTAGAGTCAATCGAGTGTCTGTGGTCACTTCAAAGCACTTTTGAAACAGAGCTTTTGTGTACAGTTTCTTGAAGTTGGAAATGACCTGCTGGTCCATGGGCTGCAGGAGAGGAGTGGTATTGGGAGGCAAAAACTTCACCTTAATGAAGCTCATGTCCCCATAAAGTCGCTCTGCCACGTCTGTAGGATGACCAGGGGCATTGTCTAACACCAGGAGGCACTTAAGGTCTAATTTCTTTTCAGTTAGGTAATCTTTCACATTGGGGGCAAATGCATGGTGTAACCAGTTATAGAAAAATTCCCTAGTGACCCATGCCTTACTGTTTGCCCTCCACAGCACACACAAATTATCCTTGAGGACATTCTTTTGCCTGAACGCTCTGGGAGTTTCAGAGTGATACACTAATAAAGGCTTAACTTTGCAGTCACCACTAGCATTGGCACACATCAACAAAGTAAGCCTGTCTTTCATAGGCTTATGTCCTGGGAGTGCCTTTTCCTCCTGATAATGTAGGTCCTGCTTGGCATTTTCTTCCAGAACAGGCCTGTTTCATCACAATTAAACACTTGTTCAGGTTCCAGTCCTTCAGTTTCTATGTACTTGAATTCATGCACATATTTTTCAGCCGCTTTGTGGTCCGAACTGGCAGCCTCACCATGCTGTATCACACTATGGATGCCACTACGCTTCTTAAATCTCTCAAACCAACCTTTGCTGGCCTTAAATTCACTCACATCATCACTAGTTGCAGGCATTTTTTTAATTAAATCGTCATGCAATTTCCCTTTGCCTTTTCACATATGATCGCTTGAGAGACGCTATCTCCTGCTAGCTGTTTTTCATTTATCCACACCAATAAGAGTCTCTCAACATCTTCCATCACTTGCGATCTTTGTTTCGAAAACACAGTTAAACCTTTGGCAACAACAGCTTCCTTGATTGCCGTTTTCTTGCCCACAATAGAAGCGAATGGTTGATTTTGGTTTCTTGTACAACCTGACCAGGTCGGTGATACGTACTCCACTTTCATACTTATCAATGATCTCTTTCTTCATTTCAATGGGTATTCTTACCCTTTGAGGTGTAGGGTTGGCACTAGAAGCTTTCTTGGGGCCCATGGTCACTTATTTTCCACAAACAGCACCGAAAACACTGTAATAATACGAAATATTCCGAGTGTATGCTTGAATGTTACCGCGGAGGCTGGCTGGTAAACAATGGGACGGGCGGCACATGTGAGGCTGGCTGAGGGCGCACATTGGACGCGTCTCGGACGAAGGTCGCTGAGTGGGTTTTTGTCCACTATGCGGGGCAAAATTTTAGCGAACAAAGCGTTCGCTATGCGGATTGTTCGCTATGCAAGGCGTTCGCTATGCGGGGGTCCACTGTATATATATTATGGAACAATAGTAATAAACATTGTTTTGTATTGTTTGTTTGTGTAAACAAAGTGTATACACAAACTAATAGTGATAAAGTTTGTTCTGTTATTGTGTTGTAAACAATGAGTGTATATTTGAACAATGCACCTTACATTGGTCTCACAGGCCACATAAGTTACCTGGAAAAGAAAAATATTGAAAAATGCAAGAAACCTTTGAATTAGAGTAAATAAAAGAATACCGGGTGGGCGGCAGTCGCCGCTGTTGCCGTACGCACGTCAATTTCTGCAAACTTTGCGGCTCTATATCTCGGTAAGTACTGATGGCAAAAATTTTTTTTAGGCTTAAAACACTAGTAAAAATATTCTAACATTTTCATAAGAAAAAATAATTTTTTTTTTTTTCGAATATTTGGCGACATAGAATGACAGTTTCAGAGAGGGCCCTGAAACAGTCAAAGGGTTAAGATTAAATGAGTTATGCAATGGAGAGTTATAGTTTGGGACTAGGGGTGTAAGCTTACTTGTTTAAGTAGCCCAAAATTAAACCTAACCTCACCTTTATTTTTTTATATATATACTATATATATATAATATATATATTTATATATAATATATATATATATATATATATATATATATATATATATATATATATTATAAAATATGAGGCATGGGGTGTTCTCACAAAATGAAGGCAGTTAGTATCCAAAACAGGGAAAGTAGGTAAATAAACATTCAGCTTACTGATGGGTAGAACATGTATCACTTGTGGATGAGAAAATCAGTAGAAACCACAAAAATTGCAAGATGTAAGGAAAGTCTTCCAGTAGGAGTGATAGTGCCAGAGGATCTCATCTTCACAATTGCGAGGAAAATGATAGGAAGGATAATGAGATCCTTCATAATAAGGGATGCTAAGCCAGTGATGATCCTCTTTAAGTTACTTGTTCTATCTAGGCTAGAATGCTGCTGTACACTTACAGCCCATTTCAAGACAGACAAAATTGTAGATCTGGAGAATTTACAGAGGACGTTCACTACATGTACGAATTCACTCGAGCACCTCAATCACTGGGAATGTTTGAAGTCCTTTGACCTGTACTCTTTAAAGCATAGTATAAAGGGTACATCATAATTTACACCTGAAAAATCCTAGAGGGCCTCGTCCCAAATCTGCACACGGAAATCGCTCCCTATGAAAGCAAAAGATTCGGCAGACAGTGTAACAAACCCCCAATGAAAAGCAAGGGTGCTGTGAGTTCACTGGGAGAAAACACTGTCAGGGGCCCAAGGCTGTTCAGTAGCTTTCCATCATACATTAGGGGGATTACAAATAGACCACTATCTGTCTTCAAGAGGGTACTGGAGGGTACCTAAAGTCTGTTCCTGACCAGCCAGGCTGTAGTTCATACATTGGATTGCATATGGCCAGCAATAATAGCATGGTTAACCCATAAACTGTCCAAATGTAGATCTACGTTTGCATGCGTAGCACTCCAAACGTAGATCTACATTTTTTTTTTTTTTTTTTTACATAATGTAAAATCGAACGTAGATCTATGTTTGGAGTGCTACACGTGCGAACATAGATGTACGTTTAGACAGTTTAAGGGCTAATCAGGCCATGGTCTACCAGGAAGCCTGGTCATAGACCAGGCAGTGGGGACATTGACCCCTTGAACACACACTAGAGACTCCAGGTAACAGGTGAGCAATAGAGAATAAGATGGCATTCAGTGATGATCAGTTTCAACTGCTTAGTCATGGAAAGAATGAAGAACTCAAAAGCGACACTATACAAAATGCAAGAGGATCACCAAATAGAACGAAAGGAATGCATGAAGGACCTGGATGTAATAATGTCGCCTGACCTTTCTTTCAGACAGCACAATAAGGCATATGTCAGGAAAGGCAGGAAAATGATGGGGTAGATAATGAAAACTTTCAAAACACAGGAAGTAATGCTAGTAGTGACACAATTAAAATCACTTAGGTGCTCTCTGTTAGAGTATCACCCAGTACTACAGCTTGAAGGTATCCTCATTAACTCGCTTAGTCTCCCAGCCTATATTGACAGATTTCATTAATTTTAGAAAAACCTATCCTGTTTGATATAGTGTGACAGTCATTCTGTATGATGGGTTTTAGGTAAACATTGGGAAATGTTTTGCAGATATGAATACAGTGTGGTATTTCAAATTTTAATAAAAAAATCTCTTATGCCCTCCTGTGTCCAACTTGTTAACCTGTTTACAAGAATTTCTTCAACAGGTCGCTGGATGGGCTGAACAAATTTCCTTTCTTGGAGGAATTGATACTAGATAACAATTACTTGGATGACAGTGTGATCATACCTTGCCTCCACACACTTAACACTCTCTCACTGAACAAAAATAAGGTATGAGAACTTTTTGTTTATTTTTAAAAAATGTTTATACCTGCCAGATTTTCTGGCAGTACCCATTTTATCAGGCTTGTCATATGACCCCTAAATTGAAAACTGATCATAAGGTTTCATTTACATTGTGCTCAAAGGCTCAGCAGTGATATATTATGTCTATATGATCTCTGAAACTCAAAATTAACATAAATTTGTGTACAGACATAATTTTGTATTTGTACTTTTTGCAACCTAGGAATGTAACCTCCTTGAATTTGTAGGGAGGACTGTAACTTCCATAGAATTTGGTAGCTGCACACTGCTTGCGTTTCCACCTTGTAACTCGGTGTAGCCATACACTGCAGTTGTGCTCTGAGGATCATTGCTCTTTATAGCCTTGTCTCAGACCAGGCCTTCTAAATCAGAAATGAAATACAGTACTGTACTGTATTACCGGAATAAGACCTAAGAGGCACACAGGAAAGTTCAGTAAAGTTAATTATATACCATTTGTAAGTAGAAATTTGTTAGCTTTGTCTTTAATCTTGAGTGTTAATGAGATAAAACAGGATAAACCAGTAATCCTTCCAGGGTGCAGAACACCTAACAAGCTTCCATCTCACACTCGCATGATTGGACAATCGTGCCTCCCTTGAATATTTTAATTTTAAAGCCAGTTCATTCATGAATTTAAAAAAATTATCAAATATTTTACCCTTAATGACATATTGCTAGAAATCAAAGCAAGTCTTCATAATGTAAATAATGTAGCTTGTTACCACTGTAACTTGTTTAATGGAATGAACTTTAGAGTCCAGTTCCTGGACTCGGTATGTGTCTAATAGTTACACTACCATCTGCTGGATGGGTTTGGGCTAAATATGAAGTCATTCAGTTGTAGCAGACTTCATAAACACTATGTGAATAGACTAACTTTTTATCAATTAGATACCTTACAAACCTTATCCTTAAAATCATATGGCATGATAACTGTTGGCTTAACAATACCTACTCCATCTCTGGTTTGTCTTGGTCCCTCCAATACCGTATTACTATTTTTGCATGCATTTATGAGCTTATACCATATGCACCAGCTTATAACATAAAAGTAACCTAACACATAAGTGCTCAAGAGTCAAATTAATTTGAACTATTTTTATTTTATAGACTTAAATGAGTGCTAATAGGCAAATATAATTCAGATACTAACATGCTACAAATGGGAACCCTTTTTCTTGCTGGTGCCCCACCTTACAGCTGTTCTCCCTCCACCCAAACTTTTCCCAGTGTCTCAGTGCTATAAAAAAATTTCAGGAGCGCTGTTAGCTGGTTTGGTACTGTTGGAAACTGTCACCATCACTCACTCCATCACTGTCTTGCCAGAGGCGTGCTGATACTACAGTTTAAAATTGCAAATATTCCCACCCCTCCAAGAGTACAGGCACTGTACTTCCCACCTCCAGGACTCGGAGTCAGCTAACCAGTAAAAAGGCTGTAAATTCATATAATAAATGAAACTTGCTTACTCATTCCTCCTTCAGATCACCAACTTGGAGAAATTAGTGGAGCAAATCAGAGAACATCTACCCAACTTACGTTATCTGAGTCTCCTGGGCAATGAGGCTTGTCCTGACCAACTATCTTCAGCTGACAAAGATGAGAAGGACTACAGGAGGTATAGGTAGGTACTGTATTTTTACACTCTTTGTTTTAAAGTCAAATATTGTCATTAAATGTCATTCAAACTAACTTATGGTAGCTTTACAATTGGATTGGATGGGTGTAAATGTAACATAATATCTTTCCCAGGATGTGACCAATGACAGTTGACTAACATCTAGGTACCCTGAATTAATTATCTCATTGAGATTTGTCTTTAACCCTTAAACAGTCCAAGCAGATCTACGTTCACATGTGTAGTGCTACAACAGTAGATCTCCTTTTTTTTTTTTACATATTTTCAAATATAACAAAAAAAAAAGTAGATCAAAGTTTTTTTACACATTTTCAAATGTAAAAAAACAAAAAGATCTACTTTTTTTACATACTTTCAAATGTTGAAAAAACGTATATATACATTTGGACCATTTACGGGTTAAATTATTGGATTATTTCGTGTCAAATACTGAACATAATGATAGAAGATGTGAGAATAATCTACTGTCAACATTTACTTGAAGTTACCTCTACATCAGCAAATTGTGCAAACTCTCTTATTATTATTACTGCATTATATCATCTATTATTGCTGTATCAGTTTAATATGCTCTGTATTTCTGAAAGCATTTAACTGCTGTGGATCATTTAATACTGACAAACTTGAAATTTAGGTAGTAGGTTGATAGACAGCAACCACTCTGGGAGATACTACCATCCTGCCATGTGATGGTAGGATTGCTGGTGTTTTCTTTTTCTGTCTCATAAATATGTGGGGTAACAGGTTTATATTGTATATTTACACACTCATCTGGGTTTTCTCCTATTTTCATAATAGTTCTTGTTCTTTATTTCCTCTTATCACCATGGAAATTTAAAGAATCTCCTCGAAGCGAATTTGTTATACCTCATGGTAGCCATAAATAATACTCTTGAGGCATTTGATACAGCAGGTATCTGGTGGCTTTACCAGCTGTCTAGTGACGGATAGAGGAGCGACACTCTTGATCTGTAGCTGTCTGCTGCTAATGAGAACAGTTGAACTCTCGACTGAATAGTCCTAGCTGTGAGATGTGTAGTCTAGCTCGGCATGAAATATAAGGTCTCTACGAATATATAAACCAATAGGGCTTTCTCCTTGTGCATGTTACCCATCGTCTTTCTCACTTATCAATGACTGAATAAAACTCTTGTCTTGTTTGTCTGTCTCTGTGCTTGTCTCTGTCTGTCTCTCTCTGTCCTGTCTCTCTCTGTCTTTCTGTCCTCTGTCTGTCTCTGTCTCTGTCTGTCTCTGTCTCTGTCCTTTGTTCTTCTCTTGTCTCTCTCTGTCTGTCTCCTCTCTTGTCTCTCTCTCTCTGTTCTGTCTCTGTCTGTCTGTCTTCTCTGTCTCTGTCTTCTCTCTGTCTCGTCTCTCTCTGTCTCTCTTCTCTGTCTCCTCTGTCTGCTCTCTGTCTTCTCTTCTGCTCTCTGCTCTCTCTGTCTCTCTCTTCTGTCTCTCTCTCTCTGTCTCTCTCTGCTGTCTCTCTCTGTCTCTCTCTCTCTCTCTCGTGCTCTCTGTCTCGTCTCTCTCTCTCTGTCTCTCTCTGCTCTGTCTCTGTCTCTGCTCTCTTCTGTCTCTCTCTGTCTCTGTCTCTCTCTCTGTCTCTGTCTTCTCTCTCCTGTCTCTCTGTCTCTCTCTTCTCTTCTCTCTCTCTGCTCTGTCTTCTCTCTCTCTGTCTCTCTGTCTCTCTCTCTCTCTCTGTCTTCTCCTCTCTCTCTCTGTCTCTCTCTCTCTCTTCTCTCTTCCTCTCTGTCTCTCTCTTCTCTCTCTCGTCTCTCTCTCCCTCTGTCTTCTCTCTCTCTCCTCTCTCTTTCTCTCTCTCTCTTCTCTGTCTCTCCTCTCTCTCTCTGTCTCTCTCTCTCTCTCTCTCGTCTCCTCTCTCTCTCTCTTCTCTCTCTCTCTCTCTCGTCTCTTCTCTCTTCTCTCTCTCTCTCTCTTCTCTCTCTCTCTGTCTCTCTCTCTCTCTCTCTGTCTCTCTCTCTCTCTGTCCTCTTCTGTCTCTCTCTCTCTCGTCTCTCTCTCTCTCTCTCTGTCTCTCTCTCTCTGCTTCTCTCTCTCTCTCTTCTCTCTGTCTCTCTCTCTCTCTCTCTTCTCTCTCTCTCTTCTCTCTCTCTCTTCTCTCTCTCTCTCTCTCTCTCTTGTCTCCCTCTCTCTGCTCTCCTCTTTCTCTCTCTCTCTTCTCTCTCCTCTCTCCTGTCTCTTCTCTCTCCTCTCTCTTCTCTGTCTCTCTCTCTTCTCTCTCTTCTGTCCTCTCTCTCCTCTTCTCTCGTCTCTCTCTTCTCTCTCTCGTCTCTCTCTCTCTCTCTCTCTCTTCTCTCTCTCTCTCTTCTTCTCTCCTCTCTCTCTTCTCTCTTCTCTTCTCTCTCTCTCCCTCTCTCTCTCTCTCTCTCTCTCTCCTCTCTCTCTCTCCTCTCTCTCTCTCTCACACACACACACACACACACACACACACACACACACAACACACAACAACACACACAGGAACAGGGCACTAGCACAAAATGCAAAACATATATACATGGACAAAAAAAAGTTCCTAGCAGGGAGGGAAGATAAAAAGTGGTGTGCTAAAAACAATGTCAACACAGTGAGCCTCAGTGGGCATGACTGCCCACCTTCCTGCATGTGGACAGGCCTGTTTGATCTTGTAAATGTATCTTTCTCACCTGCATTCCAGGGAATATAAATCGAGGGACTTCAACTGTTCCCAGTAATTTAGGTGCTTTGTTGTACTTATGTGTGCCGTGAAAGTTCTTTGTACACTCTCCCAAGTCAGCAATTTTGCCTGCCTTGAATGGGGCAGTTAGTGTACAGCAGTGTTCCAGCCTAGAGAGAACAAGGAATTTGAAGAGAATCATCATGGGCTTGGTGTCCCTAATTTTGAAGGTTCTCATTCTCTGTCTTACCATTTTTCTGGCAGATGCAGTAGATACATTATTGTGGTCTTTGAAGGTGAGACCCTCTGACATTATCACTCCCAGGTCCTTCACATTACTTTTTTGCTCTATTGTATGATTAGAATTTGTTGTATACCCTGATAGTTTTAATTTCCTCAAGTTTTCCATATCTGAGTAGTTCAAATTTCTCTTCATTGAACTTCATATTGTTTTGAGTAGCCCATTTGAAGAGTTGGTTGATGCCTGCTTGGAGTCTGTGTCTTCGATGGAGAACACTGTCATGACAATTCAGGTGTCATCAGCAAAGGAAGACATGGAGCTATGGCTTACACCTGTCAGATATGAGGATGGCAGGATGGTAGTAAATCCCTGGGTGGTTGCTGTCTACCAATCTATCACCTAGGTCTTAAGTGCTTATTTTCTGTTAAAGGCTTCCCAAGTTTTATTCCATGGTTTACCTTAGTCACCTATATCCTGTCATTTTTTATGTTCTTTCCTTAATCCCCACAGACTAAGGCTTACAAAATTTTTGCCCTGTTATTCTTACTTTCGTGTTATTTATTCCCTCTTTTCCCTTTATCTTCACCCTCCTGGCAGTGCATCACTTTATATACTTAGGAAGAAGTCTGAGTTAATAATAATATTGTCAGTATACACCTACCTGAGTAGGATTGCACAGTATGCCAGATAATTTATTTGTATTCTTGTAAAGACCATTTTGGTGAGGTTTGTATTGATGATGGTTTGACATTTTCAGATTATATGTGCTAAACCGGTTGCCCACTCTCAAGTTCCTGGATTCGACTGGTGTAAGGAGGAGTGAAATGAGAGAAGCTAGAAAGCGAGGAGCCCTGGCAAGAACCATCAGACCACCACCACTCCCAGTCTGCCCTCTACCACTCACCAAAATGGTTAGTTTTAATATAAACCTCTTTGCTAGGAACAGTTATGATGCAATACATTAAATTTTTTGAGGGTAGACCGAGGCAGCAGAAGGCCTTGATCAAATGACCAAAAGTCCTCTGCATGGATCATCATATGACTGCAACCCATGTCAAGAGACATTTTTCAATTTCTCCTGACTATGTACAAAAATTCTCCTCCAACAACTGTACTCGACTGCAAACTCTTCAGGCATTATCTGTAAATATAGACATTGAAATTGTATTAACCCTTCAAGTAATATTTTCCTTTAGGACAGTGTAAAATTTGGCATCTGTATGTGGAACACCACAAGTAATTTTGTCAAATAAATTACCTCCTTTCATGGATGTACAGGTGTACTCAGTAAATTGCCTCCATATTTAATGGAGCAAAATGTCTGAATATAAATCTTGTTCATGTAGAACAATTGTTATAATAATGGGTTTTGCTCATACTTAGGCAATATATGATCTAGTTTTCACATCGGAGAGGAAAATTGTGTTCATTCTCTATAGTGGAATAGTTAGCAGACATAACTCTTGTATATACAATTAAAATTTAGTCTTCATACCAAGATACACAAATTATCCATCTTCCCTACCCAATTTTATTTCAGTGGTGTATTTCTGACAGATATTCATATAAAGACTATGCAGAAAAAGCTGTTATGGGGGCTGTTTTCCTTACATTTAAGATTTATGAAGTCATACAGGATCTTTCTATAGTAACATGCCAGGAGATTGAATTGAGTACAGTAAAATATATATCAGGTGCTGATAATGCAGGCATTATAACATTGCAACCAGCCTCCTGGTCCATTTTGAGGTTTGAACTGTTGGATTATGGGCCAGTACACTTAAGAACATAAGAAAGGAGGACCACTGCAGTAGGCCTGTTGGCTCATACTAGGCAGGTCCTTCACAATCCATGCCATTATTAGGACATTTGCCCAGCCCAACTTTCAGCACTACCCAAGAAATAAGCCCTGATAACTCCATTCACTCGCATGCAATCCCACTCAAATCCGACCCCTCTCACTCGTGTATTTATCCAACCTAAATTTGAAACTACCCAAGGTCCTAACTAGGCAGACTGTCCCACTCATCAACTCCCCTATTTCCAAACTAATACTTTCCTATATCCTTTCTAAATTTAAACTTCTCTTAATTTGAATCCATTATTGAGGGTTCTCTCTTAGAGAGATATCCTCAAGACCTTATTTATATCACCTTTGTTAGTACCCATCTTCCACTTGTACACTTCGATCATGTCTCCTCTCATTCTTCATCTTACAAGTGAATGTAATTTAACCCTTTGACTGTTGCAAGTCCCTTTCTGAAATTGTCATTATATGTCGCAAAAGTTTTGGAAAAAAAAATTTTTCTTATGAAATGATAGAGAATCTTTTCCCAATAGTAATGACACCAAAAGAACGAAATTTGGTCAGAAACTCTCAGAATTACGCTCCTGCGAAGTTAGCGGTCTCGGCGACTTATACACATCGGCAATTTCGCCGACTTTGAGCCCTGTTTGTGCCCAATTCCATTGTTCCAGTTGACCAAACTCATAGCTATTTCTTTAGAGCTCCATTTTTTCTATCGGTTGAGTACAAGAAACCGCCCATTTACCGATTTGAACTACCCAATAAAGTGGTCAGAAATTGGCAATTTGGCCAATTTCACACAAATTAAAAAAGATGCCAATTTCAAAATAGGGTCCAGAATAAACAATGTAGACATTCTTGGCACTAAAATATCATATCCTCTGTTCATTAGTCATATCTCTAGGCCTCTCTTATATTACTATTGTTTTCTATTTTGATTTTTATTCATACAAAAAAAAATACAAAATTTACTGTTATGCAGACTACTGCATTATTGTACAAATGGTATAAATAAAATCGGTGCACTAGTGAAAGAATATTAGACTCCCCAGTTGACGTGTATTGGACGTGTGGTGTAATTTGCTTACTCCTGAACATTGGTAAAAATCAAACATTTCCGCTATTTTGAGCTCAATTTCAAGGTCTTTTTCATCGTGAAAGTAATGAAAATCACCTCTATTTCTGTAATATGTTTTCCATTTTATCACCCGAGACCATGAAAATGAGAATACAGTGATAAATACTATATGAAAATACACCTCAAAGTTGGCGTTTTAATCCAAAAAAACGGTCCTTTTTTTTTTCTCATGCACTGCATGCTGCAGGATTTTTATGTGGTGCACACTGACCACACAGACCCATTCTCTCACATGTGGGCCTACCAGCTTTCTCCTGCTTGATTTGAAGCCGCTAGAATTTACGCGTATAAATACGTCAGAAACAGTGGCGCGTAAGACGTATATATACGACGTAAACAGTCAAAGGGTTAAGGGACTTCAATCTTTCTTCATATGGAAGAGTTCTAATGCTATGAATTAATTTTGTCATTCTTCGTTGAACGTTTTCTAACGAATTTATATCCATTCTGTAATATGGAGACCAGAACTGAGCTGCGTAATCTAGGCGAGGCCTTACTAATGATATATAAAGCTGTAGTATAACCTCTGGACTTCTGATGCTTATACTTCTTGATATAAATTCCAGTAATCTGTTTGCCTTATTACGTATGATTAGGCATTGCTGTCATGGTATAAGGTTGCTGTTTACCATAACCCCAAAGTCCTTTTTGCCATCCGAATGGCTAAGTTCTACATTATTTAACTTATAAGTACTAGGATTATGGACACTCCCAAGCTTCAGAACCTTGCATTTATTTACATTGAACTGCATCTGCTACTTTTCTGACCAAGAATTGAAGTTCCATGACATCTACATTTGAATCAGTTATCCTACCTATCTTTGTGTCATTGGGGAATTTGCTCATATCGCTAGTAATTCCCTTATCAAGATCATTGATATATATTATAAACAACAGCAGGCCCAAGACCGATCCCTGCGCAACGCCACTTGTTACAGATCCCCACTCGGATTTAACCCCATTTATACACACACTGCTTCCTATTGGTGAGCCATGACTTGATCCATGAGACCACTTTTCCTCTAGTGCTATGAGCAGCCACTTTCTTTAACAGTTTCTGATGTGGTATGCTATCAGAAGCCTAACTAAAATCCAAATAAACAATATCAAATTCTTTATCATGATCAGTGGCCTCAAAAGCCTTTCTGAAAAAAGTTAATACGTAAATTAGTTAGGCAGGAATGGCCCCTGGTGAATCCATGTTGAGTATCATTATCAAATTATGCCTGTTAAGATGGCTTCTTATATTATTAGCTATAATCGAATCTAATTTGCCTACAATAGAGGTTAGGCTTATTTGGCAGTAATTTGACGGTAACGGCTTGTCTCCTGCTTTAAAAATAGGAATTATATTAGGACCCATAACACACATTTCATTCATCGATACATCCACACCTCATGAAGTGCAAACCTAAATAATGGACCAGTATGTCAGCTGAAGTGCTCTGCTGCTTCCATCATCGACACTTGATATAAGATTCCTTCTTGTTCTTGCCTCATTCTTCTTGAGTATATGGGTACAAAGCATGTTATATATGACTTGTTAAAGCTGTCCTGAGTAAAATGTCTCCCAAATAAAAGCTTGTTGTGCATATTGTCTTTATACCAATAACTACCCTGTTTGTTGACTGCCAGATATATTAATAACTGTTGCTCACTCAATCAGTGTTTTCCACTGTACTTCCTACCTCTAGGACTCAAGTCTGACCAACCAGTTTCCCTGGTTGGGAAACTGGGCACCTCTTGATGAAATACCCACAAGTTAGACGGATGTGGCCAATATGGAGGCAGGAGAGTGTAGTCTCCCAACCTCAGCATCGATGATAAGGCCAGAAACCTAAACTTGGCTTGATGGAATATAATTTAAGTCATACGGGACCAACAGTGTTGCCAGTGGTTGCGAAGGTGGTTAGAGATTACAGCAAAATAGTCTGAGTAGGGAATACCTCTGTATGAAACTGGGAGGTCATGTACTGCTGACCACACGGCAGAATGCCTGCTCATTTCCCTGAACATCAACATGATCAGAGACCCTGCAGAAAATTATTTCTTTGTTTTTGCTAGAAATGTGGTGCAACCAAATTTTTTAATAGCTTGCAAAGCACTAAAGGAGTCGGAGACTACTACAAACATTGAGGTAGGCATATGTGATACGAATAATTGCAATAAGAATTCCATACTGTTCAGCTGTAAAAATGCTAGCCAAGTCTAATAAATGCCCTTGCACAATGCTCTCCAGGAACACTGCTGCAAACCCAACACTGTCAGAGGATTTAGAACCATCAGTGCTTACTGCATTGGCATGAGAATGAGACCAGAAATGGTTGAGAAAAAGGAAGCGAGAAGCAATTGTAGGTATTTGAGCTTTCACACATGACAGTGGGGAAGAACAGACATGAGCTGTCGGAGCTTCCCACGTGGTGAGAGAAAAGTTATATGCTAAATGACGTGTTAAGGGGGCAGCTGAAGAGAAGTCAAGAGTGAGTGAAGACGATGAGAAAAGACGTAGTAAACCGGGGCAGTGAAGAAAAAATAGACCTTTGCTAACATCACTTACTATCCTGTATGTTGAAGGATCGTGACGATTGTGAGAGCTGAACTAACAGAGGCAGTGGGTATCATAGTGATCGTTCAAGGATGGAACATTTGCTTCTGCACATAGGCTTTTGACAGAAGAGTGAAAAGCACCTAGACAGTCAGTCTCTAATGATGTATGGGATCAAGTTTAGAAAGAGTTGTGGGAGAGGCTGCAGAATATATCTGGCTACCATAGTCTAGTTTCAATAAAATTAGGGCCGAATGCAGTTAGTTCGACGATCCGCCCCAATGAAAGATGAGTGAGGGTTTTAAGGAGGTTCACCTGGCTATGGCAAGTTGCTTTCAGGGAGGTAATGTAAGGTTTCCGGGACAGCTGACAATCAAACAGGAGGATGAGAAAACTGACCATATCGCTTACAGGGATACTGGAATCGTATAGAACTTCTGGTGAAAGCAATTTGGTGCGTTTTAGCACCATCTACTACCTCTAGCCTCCTTGCTGAAACATTCAAAACCCATACTTAACACCCATACAGCAGTGGTTGGTACCATTATTCTCTGGTATACAGTGGACCCCCGCATAACGATATTAATCCGTTCCTGAGAGCTCATTGTTATGCAAAATTATCGTTATGCGAATGAATTTTCCCCATAAGAAATAATGGAAATCAAATTAATCCGTGCAAGACACCCAAAAGTATGAAAAAAAAAAAATTTTACCACATGAAATATACATTTTCCTACACACAAAGAGAAGGATACATGCACAATAGTAGAGAAGTACATGCACAATATATATTGTGCATGTACTACTCTACTAAATGAAGAATAAATGACACTTACCTTTATTGAAGATGCAGCAATGACTGATGAGACACTGTGTCCGGGGAGTGCCTTTTCCTCCTGAGTACTGTAGGTCCTGTTTGGCATTTTCTTCCAGAACAGGCCTTATCACACTGTGTATGCCACTACGATTCTTAAATCTCTCAAACCAACCTTTGCTGGCTTTAAATTCACCAATATGAGCACTAGTTCCAGGCATTTTTTCCTGTTCACCTGGGTGTTAGTCGACTGGTGTGGGTTGCATCCTGGGAGACAAGATTAAGGACCCCAATGGAAATAAGTTACAGTCTTCGATGACACTGACTTTTTTGAGTTATCCTGGGTGGCTAACCCTCTGGGGTTAATTGTTTCTTGGTATTCTCAATAAGCCACACCAACAACGGTGCTACAGCAGCAGCAGCAGCAGCAGCAGCTGACAGTGCTACAGCAGCAGCAGACGGTGCTACAGCAGCAGCAGACAGTACTACAGCAGCAGCAGACGGTGCTACGGCAGCAGCAGACAGTACTACAGCAGCAGCAGCTGACGGTGGTACAACAGCAGCAGCAGCTGACGGTGCTACAGCAGCAGCAGCAGACGGTACTACAGCAGCAGCAGCAGCTGACAGTGGTACAGCAGCAGCAGCAGCTGACAGTGGTACAGCAGCAGCAGATGGTGCTACAGCAGCAGCAGACGGTACTACAGCAGCAGCAGCAGCAGCTGACGGTGGTACAGCAGCAGCAGCAGCTGACAGTGCTACAGCAGCAGCAGCAGCTGACGGTGCTACAGCAGCAGCAGCAGCTGACGGTGCTACAGCAGCAGCAGCAGTTGACCATGGTACCACAGTATTTCGATAATATTTCTCACCCTTTTTACCACAGGGTTGGCTCTAGAAGCTTTCTTTGGGCCCATGGTCACTTATTTTGCAGATAAAATCACCAAAAACGCTTTAATAATACGAAATGTTCCGATTGTATGCTTGGATGTTACCGTGGAGGCTGGCTTGTAGACAATGCCACCGGCGGAACATGTGAGGCTGGCTCAGGCCGCACATTAGACGCGTCTCAGACGAATAGTGTTGAGCGGGTTTTTTAGCGGTATGCGAGGCAAAATCTTAGCGATAAAATGTATCGGTATGCGGATTTAACGTTATGTGATGCCAACGGTATGCGGGGGTCCACTGTATTTTCCTTATTGCCTCCGTGGATAAAGTTGTTTGTGTCCACAAATGCTTCAGTGCACCACCCACCTGTTTCCCTTCATCAGTTTTATATTTCATCACATCTCTCATAATCATCTGCCGACTGGTTAGCCTAACTTGTGTCCTGGAGACGGAAAATATGATGCCTTCACTCTGGCGGATGCTGGGGAACGGGTTATATGTTGCAGTTTGGAAAGTCATCCAAGCTGTATCAGTGTGCTTCTGGGAAGACAGTGGTAGTTAATGACTATTCCCAGATATCTGAACATGTGTATTTCCTTGATACTCCCTTCCTCCAATCTCTCATTGCCTATATTTTTTTGATACTCCCATCACTTTCTCTTTTCCATTTTCACTTTTATTCCCCCTTTCATGCATATATTGTACAAATGCACCAACCACTCCAAAAATATATCCCTGCCTGGTTTTAACATTTCTGTCTTAATCCCATCTATCTCGGCTGCATTACCTCCTTTCATTTAACCCACAGCCTCGTGCACCTCCTCCACATTCACATCTGTTGATATTTGCAGAGGTATGATGGAATGGGTGGTTCACTGTTGCCCACAGAAGGGAATCGTACAGCCAAGAAAAACCCAGTGGACAGCAGGGAGATGAATGGCACAGTTGGAAAACGAGGTATACCAGACATTCTCTCGCCCATGACCCACACTGGTGAGTATGGCACACATGTACTCATTCCCTTAGGAAAGGGATTGATAGACTTAGTTGCCTATAGAACTGGGATAACATAACTAAAGAAAGCGAAAAATGTAGACATTTGGTACATGCTTGCAAGATCAAGACAGAAGAAAGTTGAAATAGTAGAGACCATGAAGGAATATGGGTACAGAATTCAGTTAGGATAAGTCCTGAAAAGGGGAACTTGAAGCACAGATCTCATGGTGATTGAATTAAATGAAGAAAAAAGGTGAAAGGGTAAGGAAATAGTTTGAAGAATATATTGAGAAAGCTAGATAATATTTTGCTACTCCATGTAGATAATACATATGTTACTGAATGTGATGTGAAAATATTTTTATTTATAGCATGTATGTACATGAATGGAGCAAAATAGGATGACTTGGAGGGTGTATAAATCTAGTAGAGGGAAGGAGGGGTAGGGAGTCATTCAAGAAAAGGATGAAGGGGGTAAAAAGAGGTTTTGTGTACAAGGGGCTTGGATACATAGCAGGCATGTGTGTGTGTTAAATAAGAGTGAATGGAGACGAATGGTTTTTAGAACTTGACAAGTTATTGGAGTGTGAGCAGGGTACTATTTTATGAAGGGATTCAGGGAAACTGGTTAGCTGGACTTGAGCCCTAGAGGTGGGAAGTACACTGCCTGCACTTTAAAGGAGGGGGATTCAGACACTTGCTGTTTGGAGTGACATCTTAGCTGTCATATCTGAGCACTTCTGCAAAGACAGAGATAGTGTGTGAATGATGGTGACTGTCTTTCTTTTTCGGGTCACCCTGCCTTGCTGGGAGATGGCCGACATGTTAAAAAATATATATTAATGCCAATCGAACAATAACAAAAAAAAAAATTTACAAATACAGTGGACCCCCGCATAACGATTTTAATCCGTGCAAGAGGGGTAATTGTTATGCGAAATAATCGGTATGTGAATGAATTTTCCCCATAAGAAATAATGGAAATAAAATTAATCCGTGCAAGACACCGAAAAGTATGAAAAAAAAAATTTTTTACCACATGAAATATACATTTTCCCACACACAAAGAGAAGGATACATGCACAATAGTAGAGTAGTACATGCACAGTATATATTGTGCATGTACTAGTCTACTAAATGAAGAATAAATGACACTTACCTTTATTGAAGATGCAGCAATGACTGATGAGACACTGTGTCCTGGGAGTGCCTTTTCCTCCTGAGTACTGTAGGTCCTGTTTGGCATTTTCTTCCAGAACAGGCCTTATCACACTGTGTATGCCACTACGATTCTTAAATCTCTCAAACCAACCTTTGCTGGCTTTAAATTCACCAATATGAGCACTAGTTCCAGGCATTTTTCCCTGTTCACCTGGGTGTTAGTCGACTTGTGTGGGTTGCATCCTGGGAGACAAGATTAAGGACCCCAATGGAAATAAGTTAGACAGTCTTCGATGACACTGACTTTTTTGGGTTATCCTGGGTGGCAAATCCTCTGGGGTTAATTGTTTCTTGGTATTCTCAATAAGCCACACCAACAACGGTGCTACAGCAGCAGCAGCAGCTGACGGTGGTACAGCAGCAACAGACGATGCTACAGCAGCAACAGACGATGCTACAGCAGCAACAGACGATGTTACAGCAGCAGCAGACGATGCTACAGCAGCAACAGACGATGCTACAGCAGCAACAGACGATGTTACAGCAGCAGCAGACGATGCTACAGCAGCAACAGACGATGTTACAGCAGCAGCAGACGATGCTACAGCAGCAGCAGCAGCTGACGGTGGTACAGCAGCAACAGACGATGCTACAGCAGCAACAGACGATGTTACAGCAGCAGCAGACGATGCTGCAGCAGCAGCTGACGGTGGTACAGCAGCAACAGACGATGCTACAGCAGCAACAGACGATGTTACAGCAGCAGCAGACGATGCTACAGCAGCAGCAGCAACTGACAGTGCAGCAGCAGCAGCAGCTGTACCACCAATAGTAGCGATGGTTGATTGGGGTTTATTATACAACCTGGCCAGCTCGGAGACACGCACTCCACTTTCATACTTATCAATGATCTTTTTCTTCATCTCTATTGTAATTCTCACCCTTATTGCTGTAGGGTTGGCACTAGAAGCTTTCTTGGGGCCCATGGTCACTTATTTTCCAGAAAAAGCACCGAAAACACTGTAATAATACGAAATATTCCGATTGTATGCTTGGATGTTACCGCGGAGGCTGGCTGGTAAACAATGCCACCGGCGGAACATGTGAGCGTGGCTCAGGCCGCACATTGGACGCGTCTCGGACGAAAGTCGGTGAGCGGGTTTTTAATCGGTATGCGCGGCAAAATTTTTGCGATTAAAGCAAGCGGTATGCGGATTAATCGCTATGTGATGCCATCGTTATGCGGGGGTCCACTGTACAGTGGAACCTCTGTTTTCATCATTAATTTGTTCCAGAAAGTCTGGTGAAAACCAAATTCGACAAAAACTGAAGTAATATTCCTATAAAAAATAATGTAAATCCAATTAATCTATTTCGGACACCCAAAAGTATTAACAAAAAATACATTTTATAGAGAATAACCATAATTTTACATACAAAAAAAAAAGAAATATAAAGGACTAATGAAATGGATAAATGAACATTTAATATAACTTTTACCTTTATTGAAAACACTTGCTGGCATATGGAAGATGCGAAGAAAGGAGAGGGAGGAGGAGAAGTTATTGGTTGGAAGGGGAATCCTCCTTCATAAGGATTTCAGGTATCAAGTCCCCATTCGGGGTTACTTGCCTTTTACTGGCACTGGACCCCTGTTGCACAAAAAGCTGTCCAGAGAGGTCTGTTTCTGGTGTCTCTTAAGATTTTCCTAACATGGGACAAGGTATTGTCGTTGAACATGTTGCAGACATGGCTTGGAACAGCTTTGTCAGGGTGATATTTCTCCACAAAACTTTGCAACTCACTCCACTTTGCACACATGTCCTTAATCACTGAAGAAGGCACATTTTTTCCTCTTCCTCCTACTCCTCTGAAACAGTTTTCTCAGCTACAATCTGTTGCTGTTCCAGTTGAAGGTGTTGCAGCTCTTCAGTGGTTAGCTCTTCCCTGTGGTCGTCCGCCAACTCTTCCACATCCTGGCCACTCGCATCCAACCCTGTACGTACTTTGCTTCGAGTTTTTTCTTGAATTCTATCATGTTTCTCACCTTCTTTATCAAAGAGCTGACACTCGAAACTTTCTTTAGCAGTCGCACACGATAAACAAGCACAAAAAACAATGGACTATTACGAAATGTTTCTGATGAATGTGCAGGGTAATGCTCACTCGACGAGAAACAAAGCCAGACTGACTCAGAATGTGTGGGATACTTTGTGTGGGCATGGGTAGGCGGACACATTCAGTATGGCGGACCAACGAAAACTGGGGCAAAATTTTGACGAAAAAAGTCATAGAAAACCGAATTCAACGAAAACCAGGGCAAACGGAAACCGAGGTTCTTCTTCTTCTGTTGGGGTTTCAGGGCCACTGACAGCATATGCCGTATTGAGCCTGGCCGTCCAGTGCTAGGAGAGGGAATATCGACCAAAGTGGAAGAATGTCTTGACTAATATCATATGTCTCTGATACGTCCTGAAGCCAGCAGGAAGGAGCAGGTACAAGCCAATATCTCCTGACGGTCCAGAAGGGGAAACCCCTCCCCGTTGAGGAGAACAGGTAGAGTGAAAGTGTGCACCCCAAGTGTGCGGAAGGCCGCACGGAGAGTAGTCCGTGCAGAGTGATAACGTGGGCACCACAGCAGGAAGTATTCCACTGTCTCAGGCTGTGAGGGACACCACTGGCAGTACGGAGAGTCCGTCATCCAAAGGCGATATAGATGAGCCGCCAGTCGCGAGTGCCCGACTCGAAGGCGAGTCAGTACAACGTCCACCGAGCGGTTGGGATGGCGAGCCCAAGGGCAGGGGCCATTAAAAGTTCGGACAGAGCCCAACGCCGAAGAAGAGAGGGAGTGTGCAAGGCCCTCTTGCCACTGATGACTGATTCCCTTCCAGACAGCCCTTGTGAAATCACTATGGCCCAGGGCAAGAGGGATAACAGTAGGAAGTGTGTGCACGAGGGAGGCTGCCCGATCTGCCACTTCATTTCCCCAGATTCCAACATGGGCGGGAACCCACTGAAGGGAGATGCTCCAACCTGGGCTCCGGAAGAAGCGCAGGAGAGATTGTGTCTGACAAACGAGGACAAGCAGTGATCGTGGACGGGCAGAGCACAAAAGTGCCAGGGAAGATTGGGAATCAGAGAAGAGGACCAGAGGTTGTGGGAGAATGTGATCTAGGACAAAAGCCAGAGCCTGGTGAATGGCGAAGAGCTCCCCTGCCAGAACAGAATGAGCAGGGTCCAACCGCTACGTTTGACACAGGGAGAGATTAGCGAAGAAGGCAGCAGATGATATCGAAGGGGAAGAGGACCGTGCCGAGCCATCCGTGTAGACGGAGAATGAAGAGCCATGTGTAATAGAGCGAAACTCTTCAAACAGAAATGCAACTAACTGAGGGGGTTCCCTGTTCCTGTAATGCCAATCCAGGTGGATGTATCGTGTCAGGTCCAGCCAGGGGGGTGCAGGAGAGTGGAGAGGGGAGGGTGTCACCACAAGTGCAGGAAGAGTAAGGCAGGTCAGAGAACGCTGGGCCCTAGCTACAAAGGAAGGCTGAAACCGAGGTTCCAATGTAATAGTACTGTGTACTCTATGTACTAAATCTGTATGGTTCATATAACTGGGTAAAGGTTAGTTAATATAAAATCAAGACTATAGTTGATGCCATTGGTTAGTTTCCATTAAGTCCATGAGTCTTCATTAAATGTGGGACTTTGTGATGGAAGTGAATCAGTACATCACCATTATACTGTTACTTTATTCTATTGGATAATTACATTGTAGGAACAAAGGTTCTGTGTTCATGGTAGAGAGCAGAGGATTAACCTTTGTGATTTAAAAAGAGGCTTGAAGAGGACTTCAGATTATTAACCTAGAATCACTGTTAACACAAGAGACCCCAAAATGGTCGAGCATTGTGGCTTAATTTTGTTGAGATCACAGCGTTTGGGGTATAGGAGCATCTGCTTAGAGCCAAGGAGAGGATAAGTCCAATTCCTTGAATCAAAGAGTCCCTCACATTAACATCAAGAAATATCCTATGAGGCACTTCAAATGCATTGTGGATGAGTATAGGCTCAGTATTCAAGATTCAAGCTAGGGATTCCCATAAGGCCTCCCAAAACCTGAGTGGTTTATTGTTATCTGGGATAATGCAATGTCTCTAGTATCTGATGAGATAGCTGTAACAGGCTGACTACTGGTAAATAGTGTTTCTTAAAAAAAAAAAAAGTCGTCGTAAGTACAATAGTGTACTAAATACAGAGCTCAAGTAACTAAAAAAAATAATCCATGTACTATAATATCGTTAGCCAGATGCTTTATTTTCATACTGTACTGTTGTAAATGAATAGTCAGGTAAAAAATATGAACCTTCTATGATAATTCACGCTGTATAGTCCTTGTGGCTTAGCGCTTCTTTTTGATTATAATATGATAATTCACATTAAATGCTATAAAAAATCAGTTAATATTTTCTATGTACTTACAGGAGCATATGGAATAAGGCAGTATAGGTACCTTGGTCAACATTCAGAGGGCAACCGCTTCATCAACAATGAGGCACTCTAAGGTAGACTGTCCATTCAAGGAACTTTCACCAGAGAAACCATAACTTTCTTTACTACTACTTATCCAGCTGACATACTGCATTTTTTAAATCATGCTATAACTGCAGTGTTGGTTTAATATGAAGTATAAAGTATTTTTTAAGTTAGTCCTGTCTTGGCATAGAACTATTATATTCACAGGGAGTGCTAAACCTGTAGGGATCATACAGCACCTGGGAGGAATGGAAGGCATTTAGATTCAATCCAAGGAAGGGGAGCCGTAAGATAAATTTTATTACCTTTGATATACCTTTTGAAGAGTTTTGCGAGTTTCACTATTCTCAGAGCCTGGCCATGAGCCAGGCTCATCTGATGCTTGCCTGGTCAACCAGACTGTTGCTGCTGGAGGCCTGCTGCCCCACATATCAATCACAGCCTGGTTGGTATGGCACCTGGTGCAGATACTTGTCCAGTTTCCTCTTGAAGGCTTCTACACTTGTTCCAGCTGAGTTTCTGATATGTTCTGGTAAATAATTTTCAACTTTTGTGACTTGCATATGTAGGAAAATTAACATATTATTAGCACATGTAGCACTGGTCGCCATTGCCCAGCGGTGAGAGTAGCAACTCTCATTGCTGAGGTCCAGGTAATAAACACTGGACATTAACATGTAGCTTTTCAAACTAATATCTTTCACTGTATTATTTTATTTTAGAAGGATGAGTTAATATGGTGGTATTAAATATTGCAATATCTTTCGCTGTAGCATTTTATGTTAGAAGGATGAGTTAATATAGTGGTATTAAATATTGCAATATTAAATAACATTAAAGCCCATATTTTGAACTCTACTGAACCAGAAACAACTGGAGTTATTGTATGGTATCTGATAGTCTGTGAACAGATTCTAGCTGTTGTAAATTCACTGGTGTAATCGCCCAGTCCGGGCCTTCTTCAGGTGGTGGCCCAGCCTTGACTCCGTCATGGGAGTGTTTCAGACCAGTGTCTGCCATAGGAAGAGGTACAAGTACCTCATCATCATCTGGGACCAGCTGTCCCCAGGCCTAGCCCCATTCCCTGCCCCCACAGGGCTTGGAGGGAGAAGCAAGGCACCTTGGGCTGCCACAAATGCTGTTCACACTGGGCTCAAAGGGTGTAGCAGCTACATATTGTAGCTGTGTTGGAATACATGTACTACTGTTTACTGTGAACAATCCCAAAAGTTTGTTAAAAGTTCAGTGTTAGATATATAACACTGGGCACAATTCCGTGACTGGAACGATACACAAATAACTCATATAGAAGAGTGGAGGTTACGGCAACATTTTGGTCTGACTTGGACCATTTACAAAGCGACTGTAAATGGTCCAAGTCGGACCGAAACATCGTCGTAAGCTCCTCTTCTGTATACGGGTTATTTGTGTACAGTGCAAAGCGTTTCTCTGTGAGGTACTTGAGACATGTGGGGCTAATATATAGGCTGGAGCCTGTAATGTTGAGCTTAACATTTTACTTCTTTGTCTTTGCCAGGCCTTGTGGTAATGTCTATAGGACTTTTCATTTCCTTCCACTCCCAGAAAGTCTAAATACTCGCCAACTTGGTTTACACTTTGTATGCAAATGCTGATGCACTTCAAGCTTAATTCTTGTACCTCAGGACAGGTAATAATCTACATGCAACCAACCAGTGACTGTTAGTCTTGCTTGCTCATCCTTCTGCTTCATCTACAGCTGGTAATTATACTATACAAGGTGCACATTATCACTAAGTTCATTTTCTTTTTTTTTTTTAACTATGATTGTTACACCCATACTCTTATATTCATGAAAGGAGCTAAACCCACGAGGGTCATTCAGCTGCTACACCAAGTGTCTCGAGTGAATGCATTAGCATTAATTTCCTCAAATTAGTAAAATTCTTATTTTCATTGGCCTACTTGCAAACTTGGATTATGCTTCCTTTACAAGTACTGTTTGCTGATTGGCAGTGGCTGATGTCAGTTGACTGCTAGGTCTTGTTAATGTTAGGCTTACTATAATGTTAAGCTAATGTAATCTGTAACAGGTATGACTAATGTAAGTTCTGTGTATGCACATTAAGTACTTCTTGCAGAATGTCATGCTTTTTTTTAGGCCAGGTCAGACATATTGCTTTAAAAAATGCATTTTTTTTTTTTTTTGTCCCCAAAAGATGACTAAGCAGCCTCATCTGACCTTGTCAAAAAAAAAAAAATTAATTTAGTTTTGACAAATTTATTTTGGGTCAGCCTGAATTTAATTAGTATTTATGGAGTATGTATAATCAGTATAACTATTTTGTGATACCCAGATTGGTTTTTGCAGTTATTGCAACAGTGAATTTCATTTTAAGCAAGGATTATAGGTTCTGCCATCCCTAGTGGTTTAGTTTTTTTTTTTTTTTTTATGTAGGTTCTGTCAAAAAAAAAAAAAAAATTATGCCCTGCAAGAGTTATTCTCAGGAAGTCATGGAAACCAGTTAGCTAGATTTGGTGGGAAATATAGTACCTTAATTCTGGAGGGTGGGAATTTAACAGTTTAGAGGGTTTGAATTGTACCTATTGAATAAATGCTGATAAATGTTTTCTTCAGTCACCAACATAGGAAATATGTTACTGTATTTAAATCTCCAAAAAATTTAAAAACTAATTTGATACACAAACAGGACTGTGTGTGTGTGTGTGCGTATTATATATATATATATATATTATGGGTAATTACTTTGTTCATATTCACCAGTATTTGTTGTGCTTATTGTAAATAATTTTAATTGTCAGATAGTGCACAGACTGACAGTAGCTGTTTATCTGGTACATTTCTTCAAACATTTATGTAAGACCACAACTGTCCGTATCTTTAAAACGAGAACAAACTTCATTGTACTATTTTTTTTTATATAATTTCTAAAGCTGATTTTCACAAACATTGCAGTGTGCTTGTGTCTTGCTAATAGAAGTAATTTATGTTGTTGCAACACTGTGAACATGCATATGTACACACCTTTATTAATGGCTATGGGATGGGCTCTCGCATTAACTCGTGTCACACTATTTCTGGCCTTGTGGGCCCTATTGTATCTAGTCTTATAAATGTGGAAACATTTCATTGTAGAAATTACTAAAATGTGTAGTAAGGTATGATAGTGCTGTAGTGATATCTAGGTAAAGCTAACGTAAGATATTTCCCTCGACTGTTCAGATACAGGCCATTATTAAATTTAAATGTAAGAGAAAGTGGAAATGTCTAATATATAATAAAATAAAACCTTATAAAATATGGGAATGGTTCTAGTAATGTATCCATTGCAATGATCAGAGAGCATCTACATGTAGCTGATAACTAACAGCTTCATCTCCCAACAGTTTTTATACAGATCATTTATTTAAATGAAATATGGTAGTGGATAAAAGCACAGTGATAGAGTAATTGAATTTAGCCTCTCCTCATTTAACGACTTACTCGTTTACTGATGACTTGGACTTACAACGGACTGACTAGTATGCATACCTAAATGTTTATTAGAGCCAATTTCCTCTATTCTGTTTATTACAATATACAGTACACTACTGTATAAATGTTTAAAAATATACCAGAAATGGTGCAAAGGTGACCACTACCATCACCTGCTATCAACAGGTTAAATTTGGTACAGGACATGTGATGTATGGTTACTAAACGTGTAAGAACTCGCCACACCTATTTAAATTGTGGGTGGTGAAAAGCTATGATGGCTCAAGCCATACAAGCCCTTCTCCCACTGGTATGGAGGGCTGATAAGGATCAATAGAGTACAAGCTGTGACAGTCCTGCAAACCTCAATCATTTATCATGGTTGACGTCATTGTATGACCCTTGTGAGTTTAGTGCTTAGTTATGTGGTTGAGCTGCAGTTAAGATCACTTCTCCCTACACAAGTTTGTTTAATAGCTTTCACAATCAAACACATACATTTCACAATTGTAGAAAAAAATAGAATAGGTATACTACAGTAAATGCATGGAAATGAATAATTAGTGTTCACTAGCATTTGTGCACCACCCAGCTCATTTGTTTCAACTTAAGTGAGCATGATCGGTCACTTTTTTCAATTCAGTTATGACTTTGTAACAGTAGTTTGCCTTTCCAGAGATTTACTAGAACTGATTTGGTTTTTGCTTAATATTACACAAGTCTTTTTATACATCGTTGTTTCTCATTCTGCTTTACCTTTTGACATGTCTCCATCCCACTTGGTTCTCCAGTATTTTATTCCTCCCATTTCTAATTGTGTAGTAGCTGGTTACAATCACAAAAAAGGTGCATTCAGGCGAGCCAGTGACGATTCAAGCTCAGTAAATAGGGTTTAAGTAAGCTCAAGAGGATGGGGGTAGCATCATTTGAGCTTTCCATGGGTTATTTTATGGCTCATTTAACACAGGCAACAGCAAAGGTAGGGACATGAAGTTTGTACTATGCTTATTTTTTGCCTTTCTTAAACCCACCTCGCTGTATAGCCCTTGTGGCTTAGCGCTTCTTTTTGATTATAATAATAATTAAACCCACCTTTCATTTAAATCAAAGCCCCAATTTGTGTAAAAAATTTCTCTAGCCACTTCAAGGCTTCAGCAGTATTTTCTGAATTCCTACAACCTGAAGCAGCACATTTTCTAATATTCTTTATACAGTGGAAATAAAAAAAAACTATAATTTTAGAAAAATATTTATCTTTTATTTCATTTTGTTGTGGAGAGGCTAGACCACTGTGTGAATGACACAATAACTACATCATTTTTTATTTTTTTTTTTTTTTTTTGGCTCTTTGGGTTGTTGTCAAATGCCCGAGGCTTAGATAAATCCTTCAAAATAACTTAAACCTGTACATTATACGCTATGTACAATAAAAATACAATGTAAATGACACGAGGGCCAAAACTACAGTAAGGACATTATCCTCTTTCCACAGTCCCAACATTACACATTTAGAAACATATCCATACAGACACCATCAGCATTTCAGAAAATAAGTACCAACACGCACCTGAGTTTGATGGTACTACTGAAAAATCACTAAAGAAAATCCCATTTTTTCTTGCTGGTTTAACAGCTACAACTAATACCAAAGATGACAAACATTACAGCAGTATGTAGATTGAGAAACAGGCCAATTTATATTTAAACATTGCATATAAAATGGGATTTAAAAGATGTTGGGACTAAGGATTTTTACACTGTAGTTTGCCATAGGGCATGAAGCAAATACCCACTGGTCCAGTAACACAGAAATCAAGCTTTGTCCAAAGATGATTATATCTATTAACTGTTCAGGTGGTGACAATGTTCATTGGGCTCCAAATATAGTTTCCACAGAAAACTTTTAAGCAATTAATTCATGTAATGTTAGCACTCCAAGAATGACTTGAAATTTTACAAACATAATATACATCTATATAAATTAAGAATACATTTCATATTCAAATGTACACATTTACATACCTAAATAAATAATCCACAAAAATTAAAAACATATGTGCACTGCTTAGCTCCACAACCGAGCCCAGCACCAATAAACTTTTAACACTATTATTACTGGCAGGTACATTATAAGACTGGGTCTTACAGCATCGGTAATATACATTTATACCCAAATCATATATAACTCAGATTATTTTTATAATATCAACAGCACTGATGCTAGTGCATTAGGATGGGGGTGGGGATGGGCCACTTCCGCGACTCGTCGCCTAGCTAGGTGTCCATCGCTCGGAGGTGGCCTTCCAGTGCCACGCACCACCCTTAAATGTGCCACACTACATGAATCGGGCTCCCTGATAGGGCAATGACCACTTTCACTATGTAGTACACACCACCTTAGCAAATGCCTGCAAATCTGTAACTGCCCCAGCTACCTCTGGTACTACAAGGAAATGAAGTTCCACCTGGCAACAGAACTCTTTAGGCATTTTGTTCAAGAGAGGGTACTCCCTGGATTCAACACTGAATTAATTATCCTTTAGGGTCCACAAGGAAGGTGCTCACCACCCCTTACATCTCAAAACATACTGTGTCTGAGGATATCACAGCCTTGTGTCCTAATAGAACACGTCTAGCATTGCTGAACTTTTTTTGCCTTGTTATTGGTCATCCAAACGATGGATATATGGACTAGTGTTAAGTGCATGTCTAGCAACACTGCATGGGGAGCACTGTTCATGGCACAGAACAATACTGACTAGGGACTAGTGTAGCTTCTTTATTTGAATGATTGGTAAATCCGTCCCATTTACAAATCAGCCAGGAAAAAATCACCACCTTAAATTTTGCTCTATGACCAGGCAATACCCAAAGAGATTATTAGTGAATTAATGTAGAGAATGGTTATTATAATATAACCTTATTGTTAGTATGTTTTGTGATTTTTATGATTTTTTTGTACTTTTTCTTGAAGGAGATGCTGAATAAAGCTAAATACACTATTACATACATCAAAAAAAAAAAGAGCTATTTTTGTATGCTTTTATCCTGTAATTGTTCAGTTTTCCACTAAGATTATACAAGAGGGGAAGGCAATTACCCTCGGCAATAATGAAGCAAAACGACAGTCACTAGACCAGTCAAGCTGGTCTTTTTTTTTTTTTTTTGGTTTTGTTTTGTTTTCTTCATATATCTTACCCATGACAAGGAACGGGGAAAGATAAAGGGCAAGAAGAAAAAAAAAAAAAAGCTCATCCTCAGCTATTTCTACTCCTTCACAGGGTTATATTTCGGTGGTCAATTAAGTCAGCTTGTACTTAAAATATGTTCAAAGAATCATGCTAAAATAAAAGCAGTGACTCAGAAAAGGGGAACAAAAATTTCTTGGAAAAAAAAAAAATACATTGTGCTTTTAACAAGTTTTGTGCAGCATGAACTTGAAAAGTAATCTTTAATAAAGGCAGCAACTACCAGCATAATTGTTGTATGTTTAACAACGAACATGGTCACGAGCTGAAATAGACCCATGGAACACTGCTCATGTATTTGGTCAAATACAGCAACATTCAAAAACTGCACATTTAGGAACTGATCATAAAAAAAAAAAATATACTACAACTGCTTTACTTACAGCAATTGTTGGGGAGGGAGGGTGGCAGGAAGAGAATTTGCCACTTCTCTCGGTGCAGTGCACAGCAAAGAAATTAAGCAATACGATTATGTTTCCGGTTAAACTGTGGGTAGGGAAGGAAAGCAGGCGTTTTCTTATGTGGAGACTGGCTGACTGATTTCCGTGGGGATTTCATGGAGGCTGCAGGTGCCGGAAGAGGTGGAAATTCTTCATCATAGTCATAGTCCATTTCTTCCTCGGATGATGATAAATACATTTCCGAACTTTCACTATCCATCCTGGAGAAAAAAAAAATTAAGAATTAAACTCCAAAAATTGCAAATATTTTCTACATCTTACTTTTCAGACCAGTATTTCCTGAAGCAAATACATATTAAAATAAATATCTTACTGTTAATTCTTTGCCTTTCTATATTAAAGCATTTTCAAATTTACCGTCATAGGGTAATTATAAAACAAAGTCAACAGCTTTGCTAGAAAATATCATGTTGATAAAACAATCATGATTACTATGCCAATCTTAACACTATGAAAATTACTGTTTTGCCACAATTTATTACATAAATGAATTGACATTTACATAATGTAAATAAATTGACATTTACATAATGTACAAATTGTCAGACAAGTAAAGCAGTAAAAAAAATTTGAGGGCTACCTTAATTTTTACAAATTTTTAATATCATGTACCTTTAGTTTCATTCATTTGGAAATAACATTCACCAAAAATGACAGAAAAATTAATAGCACAAGTTAAAAGACTTAGACAATAACATTAAATATTACACTAAGGAAGCATCCCTGATGGCAGCGAGGAGCTCTCGATGCAAAGAATTTGACCTGCCTTCCCCTTTCTTGGATGAAACCTGAATGCCTCGCATTCTCCCCTATAAATATACCTAGCTGGGAAAATCTTATTGTAGTCAGCTGGTCCAGTGGCTAGTGTATTAGTCTGGAGTTTTATGACTGATTGCAGGTTCTATCCCTGCCTGTGGTATGGTTTATTTGCAGTTGTGTCATTACAATTTCATGAGTCATGTTGATGGCTTTGAGGGGACTTGAGCTCTATAGACCTAGTAACAGTCACACTGATGGGAGATTCATTTGTAAAAACTTGCATTTGTAGTCACAGTGATGCCTATGCTAACCATCCTATGGTGTATAAATTTACCTAGTTGGACGAATCTTATTGTAGCCAGCTGGCCTAGTGGCTAGTGCATTGGTCTGGGGTTTTATGACTCTCTGATCATAAGGGGGATAAGTCTGTTGAGTATACCTGGTAAAGTGTATGGTAGAGTTATTATTGAAAGAATTAAGAATAAGACAGATAATAGGATAGCAGATGAACAAGGAGGCTTTAGGAAAGGTAGGGGGTGTGTGGACCAGGTGTTTACAGTGAAACATAAGTGAACAGTATTTAGATAAGGCTAAAGAGGTTTTTGTGGCATTTATGGATTTGGAAAAGGCGTATGACAGGGTGGATAGGGAGGCAATGTGGCAGATGTATGGTATAGGAAGTAGGTTACTGAAAGCAGTGAAGAGTTTTTATGAGGATAGTGAGGCTCAAGTTAGAGTATGTAGGAAAGAGGGAGATTATCTCCCAGTAAAAGTAGGCTTTAGACAAGGATGTGTGATGTCACCGTGGTTGTTCAATATATTTATAGATGGGGTTGTAAGAGAAGTAAATGCAAGGGTCTTGGCAAGAGGTGTGGAGTTAAAAGATAAAGAATCACACAAAGTTAGAGTTGTCACAGTTGCTCTTTGCTGATGACACTGCTCTTGGGAGATTCTGAAGAGAAATTGCAGAGATTGGTGGATGAATTTGGTAGGGTGTGCAAAAGAAGAAAATTAAAAGTGAATACAGGAAAGAGTATGGTTATGAGGATAACAAAAAGATTAAGTGATGAAAGATTGAATATCAGATTGGAGGGAGAGAGTATGGAGGAGGCGAATGTATTCAGATATTTGGGACTGGACGTGTCAGCGGATGGGTCTATGAAAGATGAGGTGAATCATAGAATTGAGGGGAAAAGGGTGAGCGGTGCACTTGGGAGTCTGTGGAGACAAAGAACTTTGTCCTTGGAAGCAAAGAGGGGAATGTACGAGAGTATAGTCTTACCAACGCTCTTATATGGGTGTGAAGCATGGGTGATGAATGTTGCAGCGAGGAGAAGGCCGGAGGCAGTGGAGATGTTATGTCTGAGGGCAATGCGTGGTGTGAATATAATGCAGAGAATTCGTAGTTTGGAAGTTAGGAGGAGGTGTGGGATTGCCAAAACTGTTGTCCAGAGGGCTGAGGAAGGGTTGTTGAGGTGGTTCGGACATATAGAGAGAATGGAGCGAAACAGAATGACTTCAAGAGTGTATCAGTCTGTAGTGGAAGGAAGGCGGGGTAGGGGTCGGCCTAGGAAAGGTTGGAGGTAGGGGGTAAAGGAGGTTTTGTGTGCAAGGGGCTTGGACTTCCAGCAGGCATGCGTGAGCGTGTTTGATAGGAGTGAATGGAGACAAATGGTTTTTAATACTTGACGTGCTGTTGGAGTGTGAGCAAAGTAACATTTATGAAGGGATTCAGGGAAACCGGCAGGCCGGACTTGAGTCCTGGAGATGGGAAGTACAGTGCCTGCACTCTGAAGGAGGGGTGTTAATGTTGCAGTTTAAAAACTGTAGTGTAAAGCACCCTTCTGGCAAGACAGTGATGGAGTGAATGATAGTGAAAGTTTTTCTTTTTCGGGCCACCATGCCTTGGTGGGAATCGGTCAGTGTGTTAATAATAAAGAAAAAAAATAATACTACAATATAAATAAGTGTGTGTAAAGGTAGAAAGTTGAAAGTGAACATAGAAAAGAGTAAGGTGATGAGGGTATCAAATGATTTAGATAAAGAAAAATTGGATATCAAATTGGGGAGGAGGAGTATGGAAGAAGTGAATGTTTTGAGATACTTGGGAGTCGACATGTCGTCGGATGGATTTATGAAGGATGAGGTTAATCATCTAGGTAGTAGGTTGGTAAACAGCAACCGCCCAGGGAGGTACTACCGTCCTGCCAAGCGAGTGTAAAACGGAAACCTGTAATTGTTTTACATGATGGTAGGATTGCTGCTGTCCATTTTTCTGTCTCAAACATGCAAGGTTTCAGGTACGTCTTGCTACTTCTACTTACACTTAGGTCACACTACACATACATGTACAAGCATATATGTATATACACACCCCTCTGGGTTTTCTTCCATTTTTCTTACTAGTTCTTGTTCTTGTTTATTTCCTCTTACCTCCATGGGGAAGTGGAACAGAATTCTTCCTCCATAAGCCATGCGTGTTGTAAGAGGCGACTAAAATGCCGGGAGCAAGGGGCTAGTAACCACTTCTCCTGTATATATTACTAAATGTAAAAGGAGAAACTTTTGTTTTCCCTTTTGGGCCATCCCGCCTTGGTGGGATACGGCCGGTGTGTTGAAAGAAAGAAGAGGTTAATCATAGAATTGATGAGGGAAAAAAGGCGAGTGGTGCGTTGAGGTATACGTGGAGACAAAAAACATTATCTATGGAGGCAAAGAAGGGAATGTATGAAAGTATAGTAGTACCAACACTCTTATATGGGTGTGAAGCTTGGGTTGTGAATGCAGCAGCGAGGAGGCGGTTGGAGGCAGTGGAGATGTCCTGTCTAAGGGCAATGTGTGGTGTAAATATTATGCAGAAAATTCGGAGTGTGGAAATTAGGGGAAGGTGTGGAGTTAATAAAAGTATTAGAGGGCTGAAGAGGGGTTGTTGAGGTGGTTTGGTCATTTAGAGAGAATGGATCAAAGTAAAATGACATGGAGAGCATTTAAATCTGTAGGGGAAGGAAGGCGGGGTAGGGGTCGTCCTCAAAAAGGTTGGAAGGAAGGGGTAAGGGAGGTTTCGTGGGCGAGGGGCTTGGATTTCCAGCAGGCGTGCGTGAGCGTGTTCGATAGGAGTGAATGGAGACTAATGATATTTGGGACCTGATGATCTGTTGGAGTGTGAGCAGGGTAATATTTAGTGAAGGGATTCAGGGAAACCAGTTATTTTTATATAGCCGGGCTTGAATCCTGGAAATGGGAAGTACAATGCCTGCACTCTAAAAGGATGGGTTCAGGATATTGACGGTTTGGAGGGGAATGTTGTGTATCTTTATACGTATATGCTTCTAAGCTGTTATGTTCTGAGAACCTCTGCAAAAACAGTGATTATGTGTGAGTGAGGTGAATGAGTTGAAGGATTATGAAAGTATTTTCTTTTTGGGGATTTTCTTTCTTTTTGGGTCACCCTGCCTCGGTGGAAGATGGCCGACTTGTTGAATTTTTTTTTTTTTTTTTCCAACAAATCGGCCGAAAAAATAGAAGACTAACTGTTATGCATTATTCTAATAAATGTATAAATAATGTCAATCCATTCGTGACTGCATATTGGAATGAAGGTGACGTCATTTGTTTACTCTTGAACATCAGCAAAAATAGAACATTTCTGCTATTTTGAGCTCATTTTCAAGGTACTAGTACTTGTCATGAAACCATTCAAAATCATATCTATTTCTGTAATATATCTTCCATTCTATCAAATGAAACAAAAACAAAAAACTAAAAACCATACGAAAATACCACTAAGGGGTGGCTAATTGCCGAGAAGTGAACTCCATTATTTATGGTCCAATTTCTTTCATTTCTGGTGTACGTTAAGATCTTTCCATCATACAATGCCCAAGTTTTAATAAGATAGCCCAACAAACAAATGAGATCCAATTCCTTAGATCAAGAACAAGACCCCTCACCAGCATCAAGGAACCTCCTTTGAGGTCCGCTCATATACGGAAATTTCGCTCGCATATGGAAGCAAAAAAGTTGACCAATCAACTGCTCGCATTTGGAAAAACTTGCAAGTGGAAGTTCCACTGTACTGAAATGGGAGCTCACAGCAATTTTTTTTTCTTGGGGGGGGGGGGGGGAAGAATAGAAAAGAAAAAAAGGCAGGGGAGGGGATGGGTGGCATACAGCATGTCAGTGTGGTTCTTTGGCATATGGTTTACATCAGCCAATTTAAGGGTTAAATCAATGCAACCTAGTTCCAAGCTGCCTTCATACCCATTTTCTCACCTTGGCCGTATGATAGGAGGATGAGAGGGACCTTGCATTTCAACAATAGTTGGCAGCCTAGTGGTGAATTTATCGGTGGGTCGAAGCTGCCTTAAAGTTCTATTGGAGAGCTTCCAAACCAGACGTTGACGGTGAGGAGAATGTCTCTGGTTTTCATATTGATCCATTAATTCAGCAACTACCTTCTGGCACTGGTCAAAGGTATGGTATGTCACCTGCAAAAGTGAAGACATTAACTAAAACATGATAGCAAGTTTTTAAACTATGCTATTTAACTATTTCTATTATTACATGGATAACATATTAACCCTGAATTACCTAAAATTAATACAGTACTTGTGAGGTAAAAGTTCATGCACATGTACATAATTTGGTGTGTGTTTGTAAGTACTGTATGTATATGGGTTTGTGTATTGCTGCATTTTACACAAATTCAGACTCCTGCATCATCTAACTGCCTCTCATCACTGCACTCTGAGGTAGTAGGCAATCTGTGGTATCAGGAATCCTAGGAGGGCTAACCGATTACTCAGCTATTGCAACTAAGTATTTATTCCTCTGTATTTAATATATTATCCTTGCAGTTATTACCAGTATTTTTTTGAACCTTGGTTTTTAAAGTTAAGCTAAATTTTCTCAACCATCTTTTAAGCTTATTGAGAGAGTGGACCATTTAGTCTTCATGGTAACTGCTGTTTCTCCCATAGCCAAGGCATACTGAACAAGCCTGTGATACAGAGGGATTTGACAAGCTGTATGACAGGGATGGGGGGGAATAGTAGTGACTATCCCCAGCCATTCTGAGCCGATTCTTCTCTACCGACTCGCCACTTCCAACCAAGTGCACAGTATTATGATGTTGTTCGTGTGGGTCTGCACGAGTGTTCAATTATACTGTGCCACATTGCCACGAGTCTAATTAGGGTTCAGGCCTATTATACCATAGCATCTGCAATTATTGGTGACCGAATCTTCTGTTGCTACCTTCCATGACTCCTATTTACATATCTGTGATTCAGAGCACTATAATATCAAGGATCAAAGATCACAGCCAGGTTACAGTATCAAGGGCTGCTCTACACCTCTTGCTGGACGCACTTGTATATTACGATACATATCCTAAATTGAAAATGAGAATCAATGCTATGTTTTACTTTTCTTTGAATTTATTATTAGGAAACATTTCATGTTTGTGTATTTACTAAGCTTTATAAACTTTTTTGTCAACTTTAATTTCCTCTTAATAGATGGTGTCTGAACTTGAAAGGAGGAATCTCCATTATTACCATTCACAGTACTGTACTAATAAAATTTTTTAGCTTAAGATTTAACAAAGTCACTAAATTATTTCAATACTATTGATTAATAAATAGCCAATTTTTACAATTCCTTACCTTGCATATATTTTGCAAATGATTAATACAGGCATGATGAATATGTTTGTTGCCATTATCTTGACCAAATTCCAGGGCTAGAAGGGATAGAGCCAATTCTGATGGGCGGAAAGTGGCAGCAGCAGAATCACACTCAACAATCTCAAGCTTGTGAATGAGGGTGGTGAGAGGTGGTGGTAAGGTGGGGTGGTGTAGGAGGGGGGCAGCCAAGTGGTTATGGGCAGCGTAGAGGACACGGAGCAGTGTTAAGGGTGTAACAGGTGGCTGGCAGCGCAGGTCTGTGGCCAGCTTGTCCAAAATGATGCGTTCCATGCGGGTCACATCACCAGAC